TTCAACTCCCAGAGTTACTCAAGCTGAGGAACTCTGGGAGTTGAAGTCCACAAGTCTTAAAGTTGCCAAGGTTGGAGACCCCTGCTCTGGAGGACGAGGGTTTGGCACCCTCCCTGGTCTTGCCTTCCTCCGCTGGAGAAGATAGTGGATTCCCCCAGCCCTGCTCAGGCCGCCACAGGCGACTTCCCCACCCCCTGACATGAATGACATTGAGCTGGCCATGCCCACCCTGGCCACGCCCACCCGGCCCTCTGAGGTCAAACACAACCCTGATGTGACCCTCAACGAAATCGAGTTTGACGCCCCCAATGTAGAGGGGAATATAAGGGAAAGAAATAGTTATTTATAAAGTTCTTGTTTAGATATCAGTTATCAGAGTGAACCAGTAGGTGGCAACATATTAACTTGAAAATTAAGTGAAAATGAGATTAAAATACAACGATTAAAGCTTGACAAAAGCTTGGTAACGTTTTACGTTTTTTTTTTAAAAAAATTGCCCATAGGAAGTTTTAAAAGTCTAATTAAAATGTGTTTAAAGAGTGAACAAGTAAGAGAGAGACTGTTCATGAGAACCGTTAAAACTGTGTTGTAGTTGTTTTAAAAAAATAACCAAAATATGAATAACGTCCCTTCTGAGGACTGAATTGTTTGTTTTGGTTAGGTAGATATGAAAATAAAATAGAAACAAAAAATGGGAACAGAAACAGATATGCCACTTCTAAAGTGAATAGGTCTTGAATGCCCTCAAAGTTGCAGCATAAATTGGCTCATAGTTGCTTTGCTAAGTCTGAAGAGTTGTTGTGGGTATAATCGTTTGTTATGGTATCCTTTAATTAACCAGCTTGGAAAAATAATTCAGGATATTATTTATAGTATGGTATGGATATTCATTCCTCAAAGCACATTCTATGTAAGTTTTGTTAGTGTCATTTGCATGTCTTAAAATTTCCCCGCTCGTTTCCTCATTTTTAGTAAAAAAAAAATATTTGCCGAGATATGCAGATTCACCAATTTGCTCTTTTTTTCATCAAATATGCAGATTGCTTTTGTTTCCTCTTTCTTATCAAACAAATGCCGTGCTCTTTTGGACACCTTGATTTTTAAAAACGCCCTCATTCTATCATTTTCTTTTAAAGACCCCGTAATCACTTGCGGGGTAGAGTCTTGGGCAACTGAATGGCGCTGAGTGTTTACTGGCCGGATGCCCTTCCTGTCGCCAACGCGGAGTTTTGTTTAGCAGATATATTCTCATTGTGCCCAGAGAGAGAAATATCTGCCTTTACCTAGGATTGAACTCACAGCCTCCTGATTGTGAGGCGAGAGCTCCACCTCTAGGCCACTGCACCACTCCCTCCTCATTCTATCATCCAGTATATCTAACATTTTCTGCACATTTGTGTTGAAATATAGTAGGTAGGCTGGATTACCAGGAGTACATTCAGAGGAATAAGAGACAACTCAGTCCAGAAATGTTGGGCTCCATTGTCGTTGTAAGTTGGGGACTAGCTGTAATGCTGTTTGGATTTCCCTCCTCTGATGCTGTTTCAAGATCTGTCACCTTATTTGAATTAGTTTCTTATCGGCGCATGACATGTTGTACAACTGGGTTGTTTCTGTGGCAACACGGTTCAGATTGTGAATATTCACTGTATACCTTTTCCTTGCATCTATCGTTCGTTTGGGTTTATTTTATTTTTTTCGTTATCTTTTTATTTTGGAGGTATACATGTGCACTTTGGAGTCAAGAACTTTGATAGGGTGTATCTAGGTTTCTTCCATACCAGAATGCATAGGGTTACAACTTTTGGTGACTTGATTAGTAACCATTTCTGCCAAAAGATGAGCAATTTCTCACTGCTTTTTCAACAGATTGCTTTTAATAGTAGTAAAGGTAGCTGCAGGCACCTTATTGCCCTCAGAAAATGTGTCTTCTTTCTGCCATTGGATCTCTGAATGCACATAATGCCTCAAGTCCATGGATTCAGATCTAGGAACAGCTTTATGGCAAGAACAAATATCCTTGAGGGCACACAACAAAAAATTGAATTAAAAGATGGAGGAAGGAACTCATTGAGCAAGGAATAATATTAGAGGATATGGCTGAAGGTTCTGACCTCCCTTATACTACTACCATGTTTCCCCGAAAATAAGACCTGTCTTATATTTTTTTTTGCCACCGAAAAAAGGCCCCAGGTCTTATTTTCAGGGGAAGTTGTCCACTGACTCACCTCACTTGCGTGCATCGCCCACAGCCTCTTTTTCGCTGTTAGAGGCCTTCAGGAACTACTACTTCTGCGGCTGGCAAGGCTTTCCTGAATGTCTCTGCAGCCAATAACATAGCTCTGGGTCGATCTTTTTCCCCCCCAAAAAAGAGGGTGAAAATCTGGGTGTGTCTTATACTCTGAATGTAGTCCTGTCCAGCTTCTCAAACAGATCTCAGAGGCTGAAAAAAGCATCAGAAACAAAGCTTCAGAAACAAAGCCTCCAAACAGAGCTTTAAAAAAAAAAAGCCTTGGAAACAGAGCTTCAGAGGCTTTTTTTTCTGAAGATCTGTTTTAGAGGCTTTCAGAGACAGAAAAAGCAAGGCACAGAGCTCACGACCAACGAACCTGTTGCTAAAATTCACCTCTGGAAACAGCTGATTGAGGGTATTCGGAGAGGCCGATCCACCCGCCAATCAGTTTTTTTCTTATTTTTCTCCCCAAAAACTAAGGTGTGTCTTATACTCCAGTGCGTCTTATACTCCGAAAAATAACGTACTTTCGGGGTAGGTCCTATTTTCATGGAAACATGGTAGCTTGACAGTTGGAGTGCCTAAATGTAAAATCGATATGCTCAGGTGGAAGCTCTTAGCGGATAACAATGCACTGTGTGATTGTGGAGAGAGATAAACACAGATTTTGGAGTCCTAGTGGACGATCGTCTAAATATGAGCCAGCAGTGTGCGACGGCAGCCAAAAAGCTAATGCAGTTAACCGAAGGATAGATTCAAGATCACATGAAGTGCTAGCACTCCTTTACAAAGCCTTAGTAAGACCACACTTGGAATGCTTTATCCAGTTTTGATCACCATATTATAAAAAAAAGACGTTGAGAGTTTGGAAAGAGTGCAGAGAAGAAGAACAAAGATGATTAGGGGGCTAGAGCCTAAAATATAAGAAGAACAGTTGAAGGAATTGGGTATGGCTAGTCTAGTGAAAAAAAAAAGGACTACGGGGTGACATGATAATGTTCCAATATTTGAGGGGCTGCCACAAAGAGGAGGGAGTCAAGCAGAGGTGGGATTCAGCTGGTTTGGACCGGTTCGGGCGAATCAGATGTTAATTTTAATCTGATTCGACGAACCAGTAGTTGCACGGACTGGCTGACCCTGTCCGCCCCACCCTTCTCAGGAGTCTCCACGTGGCCCGTTTTGGATGCCAGGTAAGTGCAGGGCCCACACGGAGGCTATGGGAGGGTGAAAAATAGGCCTACTGGAAGTCCAGAAATGGGCCCATTTCCGGTCTTCGGAGGGCCTCCGGAGCCCAGGGGAGGCGGTTTTTGCCCTCCTGGAGGCTCAAGAAAAGCCTCTGGAGCCTGGGGAGGGCAACCCCCCCTGCTGTGGTGCAGGAAGCCGACTAGGCCACGCCTGCGTGCCCATGGCCACGCCCACCTAGCAACTGGCCAGAGAACCGGTTGCTAAAAGTTTTCAATCCCACCCCTGGAGTCAAGCTATTATCTTCCAAAGCACCTGAAGGTAAGACAAGAAGCAATGGATGGAAATTTACGAAAGAGAGAGCCAATCTAGAAATTAGGAGAAATTTCCTGACCGTGAGAACAATCAACCAGTGGAAAAGCTTTCCTTCAGAAGGTTGTGGGTGCTCCATCTCTGGGGGCTTTTAATAATAATAATAATAATAATAATTATTATTATAATTCATATTTCTATGCTGACCACTCTCCAAGGACTCTGGCCGGATAGCATATTACCCCCAACAATCTGGATCCTCATTTTACCCACCTCGGAAGGATGGAAGGCTGAGTCAACCTTTAGCCGGTGAGATTTGATCCGCTGACCTGCTGAACTAGCAGTCAGCTGAAGTAGCTGCAGTACTGCGCCCTAACCACTGCGCCACCTCGGCTCTTGCCACCTGTCTCTTTTAAGAAGAGACTGGACAGCCAATTGTCAAAGCCCAGCCCTTCTGCTACTAGTATGTTGGCTACTATCAGAAGAAATGTGTAACGATATTAATTTATTTTTTTGCCTACGACAAAGCCAAGAAGGTGGCTTCATTCTGAAAGTTTAAAGTTTGATCTAGACAACGGCCGAAGAAATCTGCCATTTCATTCTGCGCTAGGTTCATGGAATTTTGTCGGCTATTCAATATAGAATGGAATAGAATGGAATTCTTTTATTGGCCAAGGGTGATTGGACGCACAAGGAATTTGTCTTTGGTGCATACGCTCTCGGTGTACATAAAAGATACGTTCCTCAAGAATCATAAGGTACAACACTTAATGATAGTCATAGGGTACAAATAAGCAATCAGGAACAACATCAATATAAATCATAAGGATACAAGCAACAAAGTTACAGTCATAATTACTGTATTCCTCCTCCTCCTCCTCCTCCTCCTCCTCCTCCTCCTCCTCTTCCCCGCTGCTCCTTTTACTCCATATGCCAACCTCCCTCCCTTGTAGCACTGATCATGTTACTAGTTGGGTAACGAAATAGTTACAAGAAAACCACAAGCTCAGAGAGCACCAACCACCCTACAGTTGTCCTCCTTCTCCTCTCCCCTCCCCTCCCTTCTCCTCTCCTCCTCCCCTCTCCTGCTCCTCTCCTCCCCTCCCTCTTGTTATATCTATTTTCTTGCACTTTTTTGAACACAAAATCCCAGCTTTTCTGCCAACTGTATTGCTGGATGTTGTAATGCAACTCTCTCTAGCATTGATTTCTCTCCCCCACCCCTCCTTCCCGATCTGGAGAAACGATCAATAAAATGTCAGTAGATCACCGGTTCCCTTCTGAGGTTTTACTTTTCCTAACTCCCACGAGTAACTATGTCAGTTGTTTCTAGAGCACGCTGTACTTTCCTCCCGTCCCCTCAAGCTGGAGCAACGTGCTTTTTTGGATTCTGCAAATTCAACAAACACTTCTTTTGCAAGCGGTGCTTTTAGCCTTTTGCTTTCACACAATTCGCTTTTAAGTAGGCATTCTCCTCCAGCCACCCTTTTCAGAAGCATCTTCATCTGTGGCATCCGTGCTCTATCTTACACTTCATTTCGTAGCCTCTTTTGAGTGTCCTATTTCACTAGCATCTAGAAGTGGAATAACGTAAAACGTCTTTAATATAAAACAGGTTCAACGGGTTGCCTCTTTTGGGCTTCCTGAAAAGACTTAGCTTGCGTTATTTTTTTTTAAAAAATATTTTACTTTATTTTATCTACAGGTAGCCAGGGATGGATAAAATAAAAATCGATGTTTTTTTTAATTTTCTTTTTTTTAAAAAAATAAAATCAGATTTTTTAAATTTAAATTTGATTTTTTAAAATTTAAATCATGTTTTTTTTTGAAGAATAGCAGCATTGTCGGTGGTGTTAAATATTTTTACATCATCGGCAAAGAGAACGCCGATTTCCAATTTACTTGGAAAGAACCTCACACTTTCTGGCACTGAAGTCATTCTAGTCGGATGATGTTTGCCAACTGTGCCTGATCATGTTTTTTTGTCAAATTTATTTTAATAAAATGCTTTTGGAGTAAAAATGTCTCTAAAGATTGTTTTCTGTTTAATATACATTAATAATTTAGTTTATTCAGCCTGAAATGGAGCTTAGTTATGTAGCTTGAGGCTGTATATTCTGCAATATTGGGACTGTCGGTGAGTCAACAATGGATCAGCCACTGCGGGGCAGAGGTGACAGTTGCTTTTTAAAAATTATGATTTAAATCGAGTTGATTTAAATGAAACCCACCCTGCAAGTAGCCCTCGACTTACGACCGCAGTTGAGCCCAAAACCTCTCCTGTTAAGTGAGACATTTTGCCCCGTTTTACGATCTTCCTTGCCACAGTTGTTAAGAGAATCACGGCAGTTGATAAGTCCGTAACCCGGTCGTTAAGTGAATCCGGGCTTCCTCAATGACTTTGCTGGGGAATTCTGGGAGTTGAAGTCCATAATTCTGGGAACTGAAGTCCACAAACCTGTAGACTCCCAATTCCCAGAATTGACTGGCTGGCTTGCTGAGGGATTCTGGGAATTGGAGTCCACAGTCTTAAAAGTTGCCAAGGTTGGACATCTCGAGAGCAGGTGGTTGATTAAACTGAGAGCCCTAAGGATTTTACTCACGGCCACAAGGATTCCAGTTTGCTACACAAAGGGGCTTTGTACAGGTAGTCCTTGACTTACAACAGTTCATTTAGTGACCATTCAAAGTTACAATGGTACTGAAAAAAGTGACTCATGATCGGTTTTCAACTCCCCAACCTTTGCAGCATCCCCATTAGAAGTGGTATTCAGCCGGTTCGGAAATCGCTGGTGGGCCCACTCCCCTCAGCTCTATGCCATCCTATTTAGGCATGTTTTTGAGGATGGGCGCATGTGCGGAAGGCATGCACGCCAGCAAAGCACGTGTGTGAAAGGCTGGGCGCATGTGTGGTCGAGCGTGTGCATGCTCACATTTGCGAACTGGTAGGAAATACCACCCCCTGATCCCCATAACCATGTGATCAAAATTCAGAAGCTTGGCAACTGGTTCGTACTTACGACTGTCGGCTTTGTCCCAAGGTACGTGATCCCCTTTGGCGACTTTCTCACAAGCAAAGTCAACAGGGAAGCCAGGTTCCCTTAACAACTGCAGTGATTCACTTAACAACTGTGGCAAGAAAGGTTGTAAAAGGCGGCGAAAATTCATTGACGAACTGTCTCACTTAACAGCAGAAATTTTGGGCTCCGCTGTGCTACCGGGTAGGACTACCTGTAATCCATGTCTAACTCAGTACAAGCTTCTCCCTTTCTGATGAGCTTTCCTGGCAACTGATAGAGCCGTGATGGCGAACCTATGGCACGCGTGCCACAGGTGGCACACCGAGCCATATCTGTGGGCACGCAAGCATTTCCCTAGGTTAGCTCCAGTGTGCATGTACGCACTAATCCATCTGATTTTTCGGCCTTCCGGGCCCACCAGAAGTCAGGAAACGGGCCATTTCCAGCCTCCAGAGGGGTGGGGAAGGCCGTTTTCGCCCTCCCCAGGCTCCAAGAAAGCCTCTGGAGCCTGGGGAGGGTGAAAAACAGGCCTACCGGGCCCGCCGGTAACCTTTTTGTCATCGCATGCCAAAAGCGGGGAGAGCGGAGGGGTGTCATACGCGCATGCGTGGGGCGGCATTGAATTATGGGTGTGGGCACACGCGCACGCGACCCCACTGTGCTCCCCCCGCTTTTGGCACGCGACGGCAAAAAGGTTAGCCATCCCTGCGCTAGAGCTTCTCGGAGGAGAAACGAGACGTTTTTGTCCTCCTCCCTCAAGGAGAAAAACCATCCAGCTGCCTTTTTGGAAAAGCACTTTGGAGACGGCTGTGACCTGGATGACTGAGAATCCTCCGCGGTCCTTCTCCCTCCCTTGAATTAAATGACTGGCTGCCACAGAGTCAATCAAATCCCTTCACGATGCTGGCTCTCAAGCTCCCCTCCCGCGTGTCAGGACGATAAGAGTTTCTGCCTGCCAGCCTTAACCATTCTCCTGGCTGGCTGTGTGGCTTTATTGTCCCTTGGTATATGAGTCATCCTCTTCGGTAGGTGGATTGACTGGTTCTTCGCAGCAGCAGTTCCTTTCCTCCCAGGCAGAGCATTTAATTTGCATTTTGCTCAGAATTCCCTCAAAAGGTAGCATCTCTGCCTAGTTTTAAATGCAAGCTGTCTTGTTTATTCCCTGCAGCTACCTTGTGAGGCCTTTGGTGTGTATTAAAAAGCTTCGGAACGGTTCATTATGCATTGCAAAGGTGGCATCTGATGTCATTTCTGCAGCAGCCTTCACAGTACAGGTCATCCTCGACTGAAGTTCAGATTTAACAACGGCCCTGAAAAAAAGAACTTGGGACCGGTTTTTTTTTTCACAGCTGTGACCGTTGCAGCATCCCCATAATCATGTGATCGAAATTCCAGTTTAATTCAGTTCAGACCTTTATTGTCAACACACAACATGTGTACAGTTGAGATGATGACCGTCGCTGTGTCCCAAGGTCATGAGATCAACTATGTCCCAAGATCACGGGTTCATATTTATGACCGCCACTGTGTCCCAAGGTCATGACATCAACTGTGTCCCAAGATCACGGATTCATATTTATGACCGCCGCTGTGTCCCAAGGTCATGGGATCCACGGTGTCCCAAGATCACGGGTTCATATTTATGACCGCCGCTGTGTCCCAAGGTCATGGGATCAACGGTGTCCCAAGATCATGGGTTCATATTTATGACCGCCGCTGTGTCCCAAGGTCATGGGATCAACAGTATCCCAAGGTCATGGGTTCATATTTATGTCCGCCGCTGTGTCCCAAGGTCATGAGATCAACTGTGTCCCAAGATCACAGGTTCATATTTATGTCCGCCGCTGTGTCCCAAGGTCATGGGATCAACTTCTCACAAGCAAACACGACGGGGAAGCCAGATTCACTTAACAACCGGGTTACTAATTTATCAACTTGCAGTGATTCACTTAACAACCGAGGCAAGGTTGTAAAATGGAGCAAAACTCCCTTAACAAACGTCTCACTTAACCACAGAAATTTTGGGTTCCATTGCAGTCGTAAATCAAGGACTATCTGTACTTGCAAAACATTTTGGGATGTTTAATATGAATGTTATTAAAGTTGACTCAGGTAGAATTATTTCTTGAATCACCTAGTGCAGGTGGGGGGGGATAACGATGGCAACTTTAGGACCTGGGGACTTCAACTCCCAGAATTCCTGAGCGAGCTGGCTCAGGAATTCTGGGACTTGAAGTCCCCAGGTCCTAAAGTTATCACAATTGTCCACCTCTGATCTAGTGTGTGTGATATTCTCTGACATTTTAGTAACATGCATGGATAAACTCTCTCCTTCCTTCGGAGAGAGACTCATAACCAAACGAAATTTTGTCATACGTAGTCCTCGGCTTACAACAGTTCGTTCAGTGAACGTTCAAAGTTACAATGGCACTGAAAAAATGTGACTTATGGCCGTTTTTCACAGTTATGACCTTTACAGCATCCCCATGATCATGGGATGAAAATTCAAGTTCACAAGTTCACATGATCCCCTTTGGCGACCTTCGGACAAGCAAAGTCAATGGGGAAGACAGACTCATTTAACTGAGTTAGTCACTGGGTGACTGACTTATCCACTGCAGGGCTTCCAGAGGTGGTATTCAGCCGGTTCAGATTGATTGGCCTGAACAAGTAGCAGAAATTGTGGGTGGGCCGCCCAGGCTCTCGGGCCTCAAGCGTATGCGTGAGCAAAGCGCATGCACGGAAGGCTGGGCGCATGCGTGGAAACAAGCGTGTGCACGCGCAGGGTGAACTGGGAGTAACATAATGTGAAACCCACCGCTGAGGGGTTCACTTAACTTTCTTGAGGCAAAACTCACTTGACAAATGTCTCGCTTAACAACAGAAATTTGGGGCTCGGTTGTGGTTGTAAGTCGAGGGTTACCTGTAGTCAGTGGTGGATTCAAGTAATTTAACAACCGGTTCTGTGCCTTAATGATTTCTTCCAACAACCAGTTTGCCAAACTGCTTAGAAAGTTAACAACCGGTTCTCCCGAAGTAGTGCGAACCGGCTGAATCCCACCACTGCCTGTAATCCTTTTAGTATTTACCATATCTCCTTTTCAGAATCGTCAGAATGGTAATTCAACCTACCTTCTCTTATGGTCTCATAAAAGAGAGATACAGGTGTCATAATTCTATCATGCCCCCCTCAACCGCCCCCCATGTATGGGGTTTTGCACGACTTCTACACAACCTAGTTGAAGTGGGGGAGATTCTCTCTCCTTGATCTGTTTCCATCCGTTGCTTCTTGTCTTGTCTTGTCTTGTCTTCAGGTGCTTTGGAGAATTTTATTATTAGACGTTTACGCTGCCCCTCTTTGTTAGCTTCCTTCCTAGCTCAGCCATCCGTAAGTCACAGCCTTTGATTGAGCACTGAACACAGAGGGTTGAAGGAGGGGCATGAAGATCATTAACCTTTTGGTTTGCTCTCTCTTGACCTGGTAAAGTAAAAGGTAAAGGAGTCCCTGAGGATTTTACTGTGCTAGATGTTGCTGACTCTAGGACTGGGGTGTCAAACTCAAGGCCTGTGGACCGCATCTCGCCTGTGGGGTGCTTAGATCTCGAAGCATCCCAGGCTTAGATCTGGAAGCCACCGTGGGCCGCCTGTTGTGGCCCGTATGCGGCCTGTGCAGCTAGTAGCTGATTCCAACAGCGAGGAGGCTGGTGTGGTGCTGCGCCAGCAGCCTGTGCAGCTGGCATTCGAGTCGGACAATGAGGAGGCTGGAGAAGATGTGGTGCCAGAGGTGGGGATTCAGCCAGAGCCTTCAGAACCTCCAGAAGCTCCCATAAGTGAAGAGGAGAAGCCTCTTCTCGATGCACAGGCACGCAGAGCTGCCAAAAGGCAGGCGTGGCTCCTCAGGAGGAGGTCTCCTCGAGAGTAAGGCTTGGGGCTAATTGGCCACTCCCTTAGCCTATTTAAGGAGAAACGCCGACTGAAGCAATTTGCAGGGAACAACTTCGTTCACATACCTTCGTGTGTTGTCTTGCTTATCAGCTTTCTGCAAATTGCTTCTGTGATTCTGCCAACCATAGTAAGTTTTCAGTTATTATTCTTTGAATTCTTGGCGGCTGTTAATGCAATTAATTAACAGCTGTTGTTATAAAAGACTGGTTTATTCAGTAAATTAAGGTTTGAACGAACTTTGTGTGTGCTGCGTTCTTTGGGGTCCGTAGCTGGGACAGCGAAGGACTGGCCCACGGTGCCCACGCCAGCGAAAATGGGTGCGGCCTTCCCGAGCTCCATTTTTGCTGGCAGAGGGTTTCAGGAGGCCGTCACAGCTGAAAACAGAACTCAGGAGCCCACTGGCAGAGTGCTCAGGCCACCACAGGCGCCCCTGACACAAGTGACGTCCAACTGGCCATGCCCGCTCTGCCCACAGACCCCTGTCCCCGCAAGGTGAAACACAACCCTCAAAGAAATTGAGTTTGACACCCCTGCTCTAGGAGGTAGCGCATATTTCTATTTCAAGGCCATTACACCAGTGTTGTCCGAAAACATTTCTGCGATCATGTGGCCAGCATGATATCACGGAGCGCCGTTACTTTCCCACACAAAGTGGTATCTATTTATCTACTCGCATTGACGTGCTTTTCGAACTGCTAGGTTGGCAGGAGTTGAGGTGAGGACGGGAACTCACCCCCGGTTGTGTGATGCTCAGGTCTCGAACCTGGGCTGCTGGCTTTCCAGTAGACAAGCCCGGTGTCTTAGCCGCTGCGCCGCTACCACTTCCCCTGATTTGGACAGAATAACGTAACAATTCTCTCAAGCCAGGATCAGTCACCAAACAGCAGCTCCAGTTATTATGCAAAAAGCCCACTTCACAGCCCCTGCGTCTTTCAGCAGCTCAGCACTTTCTGATGTCATAATATATTCAATAAACAAAGGGATTTTTTAAAAAAACTAGCTGCTCAGACAAGATATGTAAGATAAAGAAAACTTAACTGTGCAGTCCTGAGGGGAAAAGATACATGGAACGGGGTAGAAAGGTAGAAAGAAGACATGGACGGCGAGAAGTGAACCCTCAGAAGTATGGAAACACGCTGAATTCTGGGAGATCAAGCACCGTAGGAAACCCACAGAACAGCTGTGCATTTCTCGATGTTGTTTTAGGTAAGAACGTTTTTTTTATTTGTACCACTTGGTTTTAAATCAGGGGTCTCCAAACTTGGCATCGTTGAGACTTGTGGACTCCAACTCCCAGGATGCCTGGTTGAGGAATTCTGGGAGCTGAAGTCCACACGACTTAAAAGTTTACAAGTTTGGAGATCCCTGATTTAAAGGACAATCTTGCATTGAAAACGAGACGCCAGGGTGGCGCAGTGGATAGAGTGCAGTACTGCGGGTTACTTTTGTCGGCCTGCAGACTGCCTGCAATTTGTCAGTTCGAATCTCACCAGGCTCAAGGTTGACTCAGCCTTCCATCCTTCCGAAGTCGGTCAAATGAGGACCCAAATTGTTGGGGGCAATAGGCTGACCCAAAATGAGGACCCAAATTGTTGGGGGCAATAAACGGCTTAGAGAGGGCTGTAAAGCACTGTGAAGCGGTATATAAGTCTACGTGCTATTGTTATCTACTTTTTTTAGGAGGTTTAAGGATAGTTGTATGTATGGTTTAAATGGTCTTTTCTGAAGCACAACGATGACTAAAACCGTTGCCAAATTAAATCCCAGAGCCACTTAATGAAAGAGCAGATTATTAATGTTTTCTTCCTCCCGATTTTAAAACCACATTCACCTTTTTTCCAATTCTGTTTCCCTTCATATATATTCAGCGTATAGGTTTAGTGCACAGCCTGGTCTTACCCCTTTGTCCGTCTCTTTCACTGCGCTATGTCCAGAGGTGGTATTCAGCCGGTTCAGACTGTTTCAGACGAACTGGTAGCGCCGACAATCAGTTGGCCCTGCCCATTTGCCCCCGCTCTATCCTGTCCTTTATTTCCTGCTTTGTAGCTCATCTCAGTCGCGGTGCACAGCTGATTTCCCCCTCCCTCGCTGTTCTACTTACAGTTGCTGACTTAGAAGGTAAGCAGCTGAGCTTTTAAATGCTCCATTTTCAGCGCTGCGCACAAGCACCTTAGGTACGCGTGTGCGCGCAAAGTACACGCTCACCGAACTGGTTGTTAAACCAGCAGCATTCCACCACTGGCTGTGTCTACACTGTGGCTTCCTGACCTGTAAATTGGTTTTGCATGAGGACAATGCAATAGGACATTTCTCAGGTTGGCACGACCAACACAATCAAAAGCCTTTTTGTAAACAATGAAGCACATAGCAATTTCCGTTTGGATTTTTTTATTTGTCTTCTCATTTTAACCAGCGTGTCTCAGCCATGTTGTTTCCTCAGCTTTTTCTAAAGCCAACTTGACCAACTGGCCCCTCTGTTTCTGTGTAGGGGAGGGGGTCAGCAACCTACGGCTCTGGAGCCGCATGTGGCTCTTTCATCCCTCTGCTGCGGCTCCTTGTTGCCAGTCGGCTCCACAATTGATAGGGCTTTCGGTTAGGACAGGTGGAGGAAAAAGGACGCCGCGCTAGGAGGAGACTCTATGGTGGGGGAACCAGACTTCCGGTCAGCAGAGGAAAAAGGACGCTGCGCTAGGAGGAGACTCTATGGTGGGGGAACCATACTTCCGGTCAGCAGAGGAAAAAGGATGCTGCGCTAGGAGGAGACTCTATGGTGGGGGAACCGGACTTCCGGTCAGCAGAGGAAAAAGGACGCCGCACTATTAGGAGACTCTGGGTGGAGAGGGGTTACGGTTAGCTATTCTCCAAAGCATCTGAAGGCAGGACAAGAAAGAATGCAGTGATTCTGCGTCAAGAGAGGTTGTAAAATGAGGCAAAACTCACTGTCTCGCTTAGCAACAGAAATTTTGGGCTCATAAGTCAAGGACTACCTGAATACGTTCATATTGTGGAAACCGGTTGGCTTTTTTTTTTTTTTTTTTTAGCTTAACTTGGGACCTGCACTTCCGGTCAACACCTAGATGGTTTTTGATGATGTAACTACCACCATTTTTTTACTAGTCATATAGCCAATTGGATTCCTATCTGCTTCATCTGGTGATGTCCATGTACACAGATGCTGTTTTCAGATAACCGCCTGTTGAGAAGGAAGGACGGCCAAAAGAATCGTGATCTGGCCAGTAGGGCTAAATGTTAAGAAGCGACGGTCGCTAAGCAAGACAATTGCTAACCAAGGACTACCCATACTTGATATTCAAGCCTCCTTCCCTCTCTCATCCCCAAACCTTGGTTCTTTTGACCATGATTGGTGAAAACTAGCTGAAACTGTAGGGTAAACCTTTGGTGTTGTTAGTTGCGAAGTCGTGTCTGACCCATCGCAACCCCATGGACAACGTTCCTCCAGGCCTTCCTGTCCTCTACCATCCTCCGGAGGCAATTTAAACTCACGCCGACTGCTTCAGTGACTCCATCCAGCCACCTCGTTCTCTTTCGTCCCCTTCTTCTTTTGCCCTCCATCGTTCCCAGCATTGGGCTCTTCTTCCTTCTCATTAGGTGGCCAAAGGATTGTAGTTTCATCTTCAGGATCTGGCCTTCTAAAGAGCAGTCAAGGTTGATCTCCTGTAGGACTGACCGGTTGGATGGCCTTGCAGTCCAAGGGACTCGCAGAAGTCTTCTCCAGCACCAGAGTTCAAAGGCCTCCATTCTTTGGCTCTGAACCTTCAATTATGGTCTAATTTTCACAGCCATCCATTGCAACAGGGAAAACCATAGCCTTGACTATACACACTCTTGTTGGCAGGGTGATGTCTCTGCTTTTTAGTATGCTGTCTAGATTTGCCATAGCTTTCTTCCCCAGGAGCAAGCGTCTTTTAATTTCTTGGCTGCAGTCCAGGGGTGAAATGCTCCCGGTTCGGATCGGATCTCCTGATCCGGTAGAGATGGCGGTGGGTGGTTCGGAGAACCAGTAGCAAAAATCCCTGCCCCCACTCCATGCCCAGCTGAGCTGCGCGATCATCAGAGGCTTTTTTTTTTTTACTTTTAAAAGCATTTTTTCTATAACCTCTTCAGCCGAAAAAATGCTTTAAAAAGTAAAAAAAAAAAAAAAAGCCTCTGATGATCGCGTGGCTCAGCTGGGATCGTCAGAGGCTTTTAAAAGCATTTTTTTCTGCAACCTCGTCAGGTTGTAGAAAAAATGCTTTTAAAAGTAAAAAAAAAAAAAGTTGGCCACGCCCACCTAGTCACATTACCCCCCCTCCCACCAAGCCACGCCTACAGAACCAGTAGTAACAAATTTTACATTTCACCACTGCTGCAGTCCCCATCTGCGGTGATCTTAGAACCCAGGAAAATAAAATCTGTCACTACCTCCATTTCTTCCCCATCTATTTGGCAGGAATTGAGAAGGCCGGATGCCATTGATCTTAGTTTTCTTAATGTTGAGTTTCAAGCCAACTTTTGCACTCTCCTCCTTCACCCGCATCAGAAGGCTCAACAATAGTTTAAAAATAAAACTGAATTTTCAAACAAGACTATCATGGAAGTACAACAAGTGGGATTCACAGAATAAGTCAAGGAAGAAAATAAATACCTTTAGGTAGAATCAGAATGAGGAAAAATTAAAAGAGCCGGATTCTTACTCTGGGGAACAGGGTGGATAAAAACCAATGATTTTTTTAAAAAAAATCAAAAATAAATCGGATTTTTTTGATTTAAATCGGATTTTTTTGATTTAAATCGGATTTTTTTGACTTTTATCGAATTTATTTTAATAAAAAACTTTTGGGGTAAAAATCTATCGTAAGATAGTTTTTCTATTTAAGATACATAAATAATTTAGTTTATTCAGCATGAAATGGAGCTTAGTTATGGAGCATGAGGCTGTATATTCTGCAACACTGGGACCATCGGTGAGTCAACAGTGGGTCAAAGGAGTAGCAGAGATGACAGTTGCTCTTTAAAAATTATGATTTAAATCGAGTTGATTTAAATCAAGCCTTTTTACTAGTGATTTAAATTGTGATTTAAATCAACTCGATTTAAATCAAATCCACCCTGCTGGGGAATCAAAAGGAATTTTAAGGATGGTCTTAGACATTGTTTTTTTCCAATTTGTTGGCTAAGGAATTCTGGGAATTGAAGTCCACGCATCTTAAAAGTTGCCAAGTTTGAAAATCACTGGCCTTGAGCATATTCTAATGCTCCAAGGGACAAATTCCCTTGGAGTTGCAATAAGCACATGTGCATTTAACCAATAATATTTCTTGTGGTGTAAGAAATCATTGCGGTTAGCTTTAAATCAATATTTTTGCTGCCAGCAAAGTCCATAGTAATAACACCATGGAGATGGGCAGGTGAAAACTATACCAGTGGAAGCCACATTAAAATGAATATTCTGAAACGATCTCTACATGCCTTCTCATTCTCTCTTTCTCTCTGGCAGAGAAAGAAACTAGTTGTTCAAAAGAAACTCTAATTGCTACCGGCAAATGAAGCGAGTGAATTTCTGCAAGTCTAATTTGCGTGTCATAATATTTTATGTCTCCGTGTTGTCATAATCTTTCAGAAGCTGGTTTGGCTGCCATAATGACATTGGAAATGAAAGTCACATCATTTCTCTGACTTCTTTTCTGTTTTAAAAATGACTTGTCTTGGTATTCAGATTGTTGCTGGATTTTAGTGTTTTTTTTTAAATTTTCTAACCTTAAATAAAATAATTTGTTACCTAATATTAGTTTTGTGGTGGTTTTTATATGGGAGCATGATGTTAGGAGAAATTCTCAAATCATTTGCCATGGAAAAGGAAACACACTGGGATTGCGCAATGTTTCTAAAAA